GCCTTCGGTACAATATTGACGATCTCACAAAGATGAAATTTCAGTGAATTGTCATTTACTGATCTCATCTTTTACGGAATCGATCTTCTTTGACTGTACAAGAATATGTGGAGCTCAGCATGTCTGGAAGCACAGGAGAACGTTCGTTTGCTGATATTATTACCAGTATTCGATACTGGGTCATTCATAGCATTACTATACCTTCCCTATTCATTGCGGGTTGGTTATTTGTCAGCACCGGTTTAGCTTACGATGTGTTTGGAAGCCCTCGGCCAAACGAGTATTTTACAGAGAGCCGACAAGGAATTCCATTAATAACTGGCCGTTTTGATCCTTTGGAACAACTCGATGAATTTAGTAGATCGTTTTAGGAGGCCCTAATGACTATAGATCGAACCTATCCAATTTTTACAGTACGATGGTTGGCTGTTCACGGCCTAGCTGTACCTACCGTCTTTTTTTTGGGATCAATATCAGCAATGCAGTTCATCCAACGATAAACTTAATCCGAATTATAGAGCTACGACACAATCAAACCCGAACGAACAAAATGTTGAATTGAATCGTACCAGTCTCTACTGGGGGTTATTACTCATTTTTGTACTTGCTGTTTTATTTTCCAATTATTTCTTCAATTAAGAAAACGAAAGAGAATCAATAAGATTCTCTTAGCTCATTCGGAAGGATCTCATAATTTAATTATCCATGACTGTTTATGTCTCTAGCATGACCACTTGATGAAATCTGGAGGGAAGTGGGGTAAATGGCCGATACTACTGGAAGGATTCCTCTTTGGATAATAGGTACTGTAGCTGGTATTCTTGTAATCGGTTTAATAGGTATTTTCTTTTATGGTTCATATTCCGGATTGGGTTCATCCCTCTAGTAATCGAATGAATTGAGTCGTCAACATGAAAGCGTAAGAACTCAACGGAATTCCCTTCTTTGTTTGTTTGATTCGAAGGGGAAGGGCCCGTTGAGTTCTTAAGAATCATAATATTTTTTTCGTCTAAATGATAAAATGGATTTCTTTTTCTTTTCAAAAACTCCATTTTTCTCATTTTTCTGATCATGTTTTTGAAAAATTCACTATTCGGACCACCTCTTCTTTTTCTATGATAGTATCTATCGGTACTTTCAAAGTTGGAAGAAAGAAGGAATCACTCAATTTCTTGGCTGCTATAATATATTAGATATCGTGCAAATCCTTTCTATACTAATCTAATGTAGAACCTTACTCTCTCTATTACATTACTCTATTTATTTTTTATTGTTTTCATATTTCATCATCAAATTTTGTATAAGATAAGTTGATTGAAGAAGTTTTATTTAATTAATAAAATTTCCTCTCTTTTTTTGTTTTGTTTGTCCACCACTTAGTATATTATACGTAAAGGGGGTGGGGGTAAGGTAAAGGGTTTCTGATACATCTGGAAAAATCGAAACCAAGACTAGGAATTTTTAACAAACAGGATCAAGAATCATTACTCTTTCGTTTCGACACAAGAAAAAAGGATTTTTCTACACCCCTTTCTTGTGTCGAAGACTAGGAAGACAAATAATCCCTCCTAGAATTTTTTGTTCCCCGCATTTATCCCCTGCTTCCTTATGTCTAGTATTTAGACAAATTTGACTTTCTTTCTATTTAGAATAGAAAACTATTGATACGTCTTATGGCATTGAAATCTGTCAATAGTAACATAGTCACACTACTCCAATTTTAAAAAACGAAATAAAAATAATGAAAGTCAAATACTCTTCTTCAAATTCTACATTACATACTCTTTTTCTACGAGATGCTGGGAATCCCTTGTACCACATAGTATGTAGATTTTGAAGAAGAGTATAAATAAGACAAAGGAGTTTTCAGAATTTCATTTTTTTGATCATAAATAATCGCCAACAAGAATTTGGTTCTTTTTACGAACTTGATGTCGACAAATCTGCGAATCTAGAAATTCATTTCGGCCAATTGAACCTTCTCGAACTGTTTCTTTTTAAGAACCAAAAAGATTTGTGCCAAAATAACAGATGCCAAGAAGAACAAAAGTCCTTGGACACGTAATGGATCTTGAAGTACTATTTCTGCATCTCCCTGACCAAATCCGCCTACATTAGGATTACTCGTTAATGGTTGATCAAATTTGATAGATTCGCCCTCGGAAACAAGAAGTTCTGGTCCGGGAGGGATAATATCAACCACTTGACGTCCATCCGACGCATCCGTTATGGTTATCTCATACCCACCCTTTTCTTTTCGTATGATTTTGCTTACTATACCTGCTGCTGTAGCATTATAAACAGTATTGTTACTCTTGCTGCCGTCGGGATAAATCTGACCCCTTCCCCTGTTCCCGCCTACGTATATAGGATATTTTAAGAAGTGAACATCCTTCTTAGTAGCAGGGTCCGGGGAAAGAATAGGGAAGGTTATTTCACTATATTTTTGACCAGGGACAGGGCCTATCACAAGAATATTTTTTTTATTGGGGCGATAGCT